CTGTTTTTCTTGTCTGTTCCAATTTGTGAAATCTCATAAAAGCTAAATATCATGATGCATATCCTGGATCACTCAGACTTCTTCAAGTATCGTGATACATTTCTGCTGCAATGTCCACCCCTAATTTAGCCCTTTAGCTCCTGATATCACAAGGATGAAAACATGATTTTTTTTTGTGGGGGGGACATTTGGCTGGAAATGCCTTTTGTTTGTTAGTTTTTATCATTCAAATGTGCAGGCTTTGTTTGAAAAAGTGTAATGTCTAAAAGCTTTTGGTTACTGAGGTTAAAGTGAAGCACAGCAGCAATTAAATACAGTCTGACAGAAAGCAATGCACATACCTCACAAAGACAGATTAAGGGACCCTTATTAGTCCCACAACAGGGAAATTTCACCTCTGCATTTAACCCATCCGTGCAGAGAAACACCACATACACACTAGGGGGCAGTGAGCACATTGCCTAGAGCGGTGGGCAGCCCTATCCGCAGCGCCCGGGGAGCAGCTGGGGGTTAGGTGTCTTGCTCTAGGCCCCTTCAGTCACATACTGTAGGCTCAGGGGATTGAACCAGTGACCTTCCGGTCACAGGGCTGGTTCCCTAACCTCCAGCCCACAACTGCGCTAATACAAGTAATACAAGTATGTGTGTGTGTGTACAAGCTTAAAGTGTTCTACACTAAACTATCTACAAAAGATGGCCCAACAATATAAGCGCGTAATGAGCATAGGGTTGTGTCATGTGTAGTAGAGATGGCACCGGCTCCATACTAACAATCTGTATTGGGCCGATATCAGCGGAATATGCTGGATGGGAAATCAGCAGAGGTGAAGAAGTACACAAGTCCTTTACTTAAGTAAAAGTACTCTGGTAAAAAGGAAAATAAATGCTGCTGTAAAATTGATGTGTAGTTTTCATTTTTTACTCAAGTAAAAGTATAAGAGTACATGCTCTTAGATGTAGGTGTGAAATTTCATGTATATTTCATCTCGCTTTACTGTTAGAATGAGTGAAATATGTATTAGAAATAATGACAGGCTGGTTCTACAGAATTTGGAAAGAAAGCATTTCCATGTAATGCCCCATCAGTGTGGAATAACTTTCAAATGAGTGCTAAAATATTAATAAAACTCAAAACCTTTAAATAATTTGATTTATGAGAGTTGCAGATGTAATTCTGTGTAACATTTGGCTTGTTTTAATTACTTTGTTTGTTCTAATTGTTTTAATGATTTAGGTCCTGTTGTTATAATTTCTGTTGATTGTATTGTATTTTTATGTACATATATGTAAATGAATATTCATCTGCTAGCTGAGTATTTTAAATCACAGCTGTAAAACTGTAAAGCTGTAAAACACAAGTAAAACTGTCCCACTGCTCAGCCCCGGGTTCACTCTCCGGTTCAGTTCGACCCGCCCTCCTTATTGATTAGTTACCACCACTGAAGTTAAACGTTTTTTCAGCTTAATCCTTGAGCATCCACAGCGGAAGAATCTGTGATCTGCGGCAGAAAAAATAGGTCAATAAAATAGACAAATAAAAATGTCAAAGAAAGAAGCTCGGTTTGAAAATGTAGTCAGTAGAAAGTACAGCTTGTTTTTTTGAAATGTAGTGAGTAAAAGTAAAAAGTATTAAGTGACAGAACTACTAGTAAAGTACAGATACTCAAGTACAGTAACAAAGTAATTGATAAAGCATGCTCTCGCACTGTGTGTTGTGATGTTAGCTGTGTAGTTCCTCTATCAGTTCCATCATCATAGCCTTTTTTTAGTAGTGCTTCAATTAAAAATGGCTCATTTTAAAGTTGAGTAGTTTTAAAGTAAAAATATTCAGTGTCTGCCGTTCCGGAAGGTTTCATTATCGTTGCCAGGAAAGAAAAGTGGTGTTGTGCCATCTCTAGAGTGACTTTAGTGTGATGTTATATAATGTTGATGTAAAGTTACCTTTTTGGAGATATGCTGTTAGAAATAAAGGTTCAGTGCAGGTACATTTTTCAATCATCAAGTTACAAACAATGTAAATGTTCCCTCAAAGGTACAACAGTGGTTTAAGGTCTGATTGTATACCTTAAATTAGTTTCTCTCAGTGGAAAAGTACATATTTGTACCTTTTCATAACTTAATGTTTAAAAACAGAACAATAAAATAAAAGCCTGGAGACGAGACGGGGTGTGTGGAGAAAATATCATTACAGTGGATTATGATACAGTTATGTTCCCTGACTAAAGGTACTGAGATGAATCCTTGAGGGTCCCACCCCAGTGACAAGAGGGGTACTGCCCCAGAGACAGCTTCATACCTTTTGTAGTAGGTTTTGTTCCAACAGCAGCATTATGTATGTCACTGTAAGGTCTCTTTTTAGACAACCTAAAACCCCATTATTACCAGCATTTAAAGCCAATCTTATGATTGCTGTCCTACGTTGTCCAAATTAAACGTGTTTCATTTGAATGTGTACAAAATTTCCGCATAAACAAACAATATTTCCTCAGCACTGTTATTGCCAAAAGTAAGTACGCAATGAAAGACAATAACTGTGTTGATGAAAGATATTTTATTCATGGGGAAATGATGTTCACATTTGAAAGTAAATTCAGCGCATCTTTATTTTCATTGTACTGTCCTGCTCTACCTCGACTGCACTCTGCAAACCATCACACGCGGACTCATTCCCTGCTGTAGCGTGAGGCGGGAAGAGGTGAGAGCTAAAGCTGTCATAATCCCGCTTAGTTTAAAAAGGTCACTCGCGGTGATAATAAAAAAATCGCCATTTTGTTCATTTATTTACTCTCTGCAGCAGACAGATAAAGAAACGGAACAATTAGGGAATGGAGAGAGGGAGATTTTCAAAGGGCAAACGGTGAGTTTAATATTTTATGAGGGCTGATTGGTGCTCGCACACGGGGGGGAGGGGCAAGCGGAGGAAGAGCAAGCTGCACTGAGGCGTTCAAACACCAGCCATGACTGAGGCTGAATCTGAGGTCCACAACACAAACGACGTAAATAAACAAAGATCTTAACCGAAAGCTTATGTGTTACAGCTATAAACTAGAGAGGTACATGACTGTGGTCTGCAACCAAAACAAAAGCAGTAAAAAAAGTTCTGGTTGTATCTATAAAGTACTATATTAGTAGTGTCAGTTATATCTGTGATCTAGTGGATAAGTTTGAGCTGAATTACAGGCCACAGGCTAAGTTACAACAAACAGGAAAAATCCTAAAATGCATCTGTAAAATTCTAGGCACAGATGAGTGTTTAGTGTTAGGTGTATCTAAGTGATAAGTGTTAAGTCTTGTAGTTGTATCTATAAATGAACAGGCTGAAGGCTATAGAGCCACAAGGATATGACATTAGAGCAAGAGGTCCACAGCAAAAAGGAAGGAAAGTAAAAGTGTTGATTATATATATTAATATATATATATATTGCTGCTGTTTGAACAAAACTTCATTTGTCCATTTTTTTCCCCACTCAGAATTTGAAAAAGCCAGCTGACCTTTCCAACATACTGAAGATTCATAATGAATGGAGCAATAGAGAAGCTCCAAAATTACTTCAAATAAAAAATAGTTCCATTGTTTTCCATTCAAACTTAAGAGTGTTGTTTCCTTCTCCTGTAAAGTTACCATTTTGAAGATACAAGGTTTTGTTCCAACAGATATATATATAAATATACATACATTTATTTATTTATTTATTTATTTATTTATTTACAGTGGTAAGCAAAAGTGTGAACACTTCTGGTGATATTTTGTTGATTTTCTAAGTGAAAAAAATAGGCTAATAAAAAACACGTAAATATGACATTTTACTGCAAATTTTAGCGCAATGGCTTTAAGATGTTGGACAAAAATAAAACATAAAATATAAAATGTGCCTAACTTTTGTACAGGCCACATTATTTTTGTGCAGTGTGTTAAAATCCGTAAATAAACAGTAACTGTGCATTATAATGTGTGTTCTCTGTAGAGAATGGGTCACTTAGAAAATCAACAAAACCTTTCATTTGAACAGGGGTGCACAAACTTTTGCATACGACTGTATATGTGTATATAGCGTTTGTTATGTTTGCAGTTCTGCAAATAGGCATTAGTTATTTCTATAAACTACTGCATGTAAATGTTAATATCTTGAATGTAGAAGATAAATTTTAGCTAAGTTAGACATGTATCTACATTTTGAGGCTAATAAAGGTAACAAAAATGCAAAAATAATGTATATATATATATATATATATATATATATATATATATATATATACTAGAGGTTAAATTTGAGGTAGAGGTCCACAAAATAGAATAATATTGTCTGTTTCTGAAAACCACTAGGTGTAAGTGTTCATTTAGAGGTTACAGTTGAACTACAGGTTCCTAATGTTATATTATGTTTGTTTTATCTATAACCTAGAAGTTACAGTAGCAGAGTTCCCTCACACTGAAGTGAGTGTCGTCCCGTGTGATATTTGTCATTGTTGTGTCTGCGTGTAATAAATGATGTGAACGTGAGTATCGTGAGGAGAAGTCCTGGTTAGTGAGGATGTTATGTATATTAGGTGAAGAGCTGTGTTGATTTTAAGCATGTGTAAACCTGAACTGAGATGAAGTCAGCGCACGAATGCGGAGGAGCAGGTAACGAGGCGCACGCTGTGAATTATTCATGAGGAAAAAATGGCTGATTGTGGAAAAGGGAGATGAGACTACTGTGTGATCTAATTACTGCAAGGAGAGAGAGAGAGAGAGAGAGAGAGTAGTGAATGTCCTTGAGATCATTTATTCACTCTTATTGTGTACAGTGAATATGTCAAAGCCTCTCTACAGACTCTGCGTATGTGGTAAATGAATATATATAGACTGTAAGTCCAGTGCAACTTCTCCTTTTAGTGCACTGAGGTGTTCTGGCCTTTGATATACCCGATACCTTTTGTTCCTGCAACACAATAGTCTCAAATCACACTCATATTCAACACACACTATTCAGCCTGCATTGTGCTCTATTTCTTTCTAGCTCCAGACCTGGACGGCCCCCCAAAAGGACCCAAAGTGTGACATCACCCGAGAGTCCACACATCCTTCCCCATTCTGTCACTGGACTCATGACTTCAGGCATGATGTCTCACACAGGTAAGACTAGTGCAGAACCTTCCTTACCAGTCAAGAAATACACAGTTCAGCTCAGTGTACTCCAGGGCTGTCACTGTTGGTTATATTAGTAATGGAGTAATCTCTTTTAGTCTCATTATTCTTGTTGATTAATCCAATAATCTTTTTTTAATGGCCAAACATTAAAAACAAACAATGTGTAGCAAATCCACATTGGAAAAATCCAAGAAATGTACTGGGAAAACACAATCTAGGAAATCTTCAAAACAGATTTATTATTATTATTATTATTATTATTATTAGTATTAGTAGTAGTAGTAGTAGTAGTAGTAATTGTGTACTCATTCCATTACAGTTAATTGATTGATCATGTTTTGTTTACTGGAAAAATCATTTTTAAGAAGTGTATAGCCCTTCAAGACTTCCAGAATGTTTAATAATCTACACAATCTAAAAAGTATTTGAAACAACTTTTTTTTTTTCATCATATTAGTAATCAATGAATCACTTCATAACTTTAATGATTAGTTGATTTTTTTATTTTCAAAATTAAAAAAATAAAATTTTCAGAAACGTCCAGGCTTTCAAAAAAAAGTTGGAAAAACGATCCAGAAAACTCTTCAAACAACTTAATAAAAAAAGGTTTCAAGTCATTGCTCCATTTTTTTTGATGATTATTAATCGCTTAATTGTTTAAAGGCCAAATAGTATTAATAATAATAAAAATAATTTTAAAAAATGTCCTCCCTTTCAAAAAATGTAAAACATATTCAAGGTCAATAGGAAATCCTAATATGAACTCTTAAAACTACATTGCCTGAAAATGTAGAACAATGACTGGAAAAAAGCCTTAAAATTGATCTGTTCATGATACAGAAAAGTGTAATTGCTATTAACAAAAACTATTACGAAAATAGAACCTAGTGGTCAAAAAATGACGTTAATTTATAAACAAAATACAAATTTCAGTGTTGAAAAATAGAAAAACCAAAAACATTAGTGATTCTGACCGATTTACTGCCAGGCCGTTCTCACTGCAGGTTTGTTTTGATGTGTTCTGTGGAGGGTTTTGGTGTTTTTGAATATGTGAAGGCTGGTCTAGAAGTAGATCCCTTCTAAACCTTAAATACCCATTAGAAGCCTTTCATGATGTCTTAGATTAAAGGTATAGTCTACTGCTTTGCTAATTAAGCATTGCTAAATTCATCAGAAGGAAGTGATTTCAGGAAGTCCAATTTACTACAACTATTAACACACTTGTAAAACGGACTGACACTAAACTGAAATCTAAAACCAAATAATAACACTAAATAAAATCTAATGGATTTTTGAAAAACCATAATAACCTAATAATAATGCCACTGGAAGCAGTTACAGGTAACTCATTTCCTGAGCTGCGAATGCTCTCACTGTGCTCAGTGAGAAAACTTTGAGAAGACATCACAGCGAAAATGTTAATATAACAAGTACAAAACAAGCGGCAGAGGCACATAATTGTAACACTTGTTACAACAAACCAAGGGGAACAGCTGCTGCTGTTTTTTCTTCTTGTATGCTGCGGGGGCGGCGGGGGGGGGGCAGGGGTGGCGCGGGGTGGGGGGTGTTGGGGTTGATTTGACTGTTATTTCTGTTTTTTCACAAACAAATGCTGGCAAGTATGTTACAGGCTTAGGGGCACTTGTATATAAGCCATATTAGGCCGCACTCGTTTAGAGTGCTGTGAGTGGGCCTTTTAATCTAATTAGTCCAAATGAGAGATATTTGTTGTGTTGCTTGTTCGAGCCCCTCAGCTACTGTTTACGCTGTGACAATGCATGCTGGCCTGAAGCTACACTGTACCACAGCGTCTCATCTGACCTTTGTCTTGTGCCGTAATTAAAAGGAATTACATACGGCCCAGAGCCACGCTCACCTCAAGCTGTGTGATAGATGCTCCTAAAAGTAGCTCAAGAGCTGTATGTGCAAAAGTGTTCAGACACCACATCTAATTAGTGAATTCAGCTGCTTTTAAAATAACTCAGGTGTCTCCATAGAAAAGCATTGCTAATAGAATAGGATGCTCTGGAGCTGCCACACATGAGCCTGAGGTTACCATGCCCAATGCTAAGGGGCAGCTGGAAGGGTATAAAGCCCCCCTCATTGGGATGTGGAACAGTGGAACTGTGTTCTCTGGAGTGATGGAGCTCCATCCAGTACCTCTGGGATGAGCTGGAGTGATCCAAAATTAATCATCCAACATCAGTACCTGACCTCACTAATGCTCTTGTGGCTGAATGCAATCAAATCCTCACATCAATGTTGTAGTGTATATAACACCCCAACTTAAATCATCTTCCTGCATCGTTGCTGAGGAGGACATCTTTCAGCTTTAAGACAGTACCTAGAATTGTGTGCGCACAAGTGCATTAACACTTATGTTTGCACACAGTGTTTTAATCACAAATGGGGGCTCTTGTTTAATCTGATTGATTTATCAAGCTATCAGCACCTAAATTAAGAATAGTTAGCTAACAGATCTTAATCTATTTCTGTAATTTTCTTCATCATTAGACATGGTATTAAAATTATTTTGAGCAAAAATGAAATAAAAAATATAATACATTATAAATTATCCAGATAATAGTTAACAGTTAATAGTTTTGACATTGAGCTGAGAGTTCGGTCTTCCACTGAGCTTAATGCAAAACCTTTTCAGGTTCAGGAATGAATTGAAAACAGCACCACCTCCAGATGATCAGGATCGCGTGTGTCAGCCACAAACAAGTGTTCCTCAGTAACACCTTTCCACCATTTCTTAGTCTAATAATTCTGACTGATTTACTGCCACCGCCGTTCTCACTGCAGGTTTGTTTGAGTTCTGTGGAAGGTTTTCGGTTTCAGTTTTCACTTGACGGAGGGCGAAACATTTATAGGCGATTGTGAATGTCTGACAGGCATGTCAATCATAATTTTGGTCTAAACCTATCTATTTTATGACACATGCGACTTTTTAGCGTTCTAGAAGTACTGACGACTCCCATGATACGCTTACAATGTTATGGAATTGCGCACCCCTGGCATCATATCTATCCTCCTACACTGAAAAAAATAAAGCACTAAATTAACTTCTGTGATTTCCACCATAATAAAACATATTACATCAACACAGTTCTGTCTTTCAGTTTACTGACTTTGGCCTATAACTGTGTTGACGTAATATACTTTATTAATATAGAAATGATGTGCACAGTTGAGTCAAGTACACTTAATGCATCACTTTTTCCAGCGTAGCCTGCCTGTAAAGCTAAATGCATATCTGCTGTGCATCGACATCTGAGCCGCCCTTGGCTTTGTGTGTGTGTGTGTGTGTGTGAAAATGCTCTCGATCAGCCCCTCCCACACGCCTCAAAGCAAGCCCTCGAAAGAAAGGCTCATGCATTTGTACCCGTTTAGAAAGAGCAGGTGAGGGATGTGTCTGAGAGAGCGAGAGGGAGCTGTGTGCGTGTGTTGGTGAATCTATAGTGTAGGCAGCCTCGAGTTTTCTTTTATCTTCAGCAGAGGTCACACTATCAATGTCAGCTATGGAGATGGGAACTCAAAGGCCTCCGGGGAGATGGAGGGAGGGAAGGAGAGAGAGACGAAGATGGAAAGAAAGAGAGAGAGAGAGAGAGGGGCATTTTTTTTCTCTTTGAGTGGCTTGAAGAGAGAGAAAGAGGAACGCTTTGATATCGTCCTCTCTGCTGGCTGAATGGGGCCTTGGCTTTCATGCTCTGATCTTGACATTTTGTGAAAGCATTTGGAGAGCAACTGAAAGCAAACGCGCACACATAGACACCGCACTGCCAATTACCTCATAGTGGAACATAAACTGTAGCCAATTTCGGTTAGTTTAAATGCCAGCCAGCTAAAGCAGCAGAACTCAGTTTGAAACTAGCCTGGCGAATGTTTTCACATGTGAAATTCAGCTCCCTGGAGCCAAACACGGTTTTACTGTGCAAAAACATAACATTGATCCGCTGTGCACCACTGTTGGTGATAATGTTGGTGTTTTGTTATCAGTCTCAGTACCAGGTGCCTTCAGTTTCACGACTAGCAAAGTGAATTTCGTACAGTCTGATTGGGTCCAACTCGTAACAGATTCTACTCTGAAGACTGAAGTTGTGCTTATATGATGAGTCAAACAAGCTTTAGCTAAGACATATACTTTGCTAATTAGCATAGCTAATATCAATTTATTCCTCTATAGTCTATAACTGTGGTTTTCAACCTGGACCGCAGCCCCCAGTGGGCTAGGGTGGTACTGCAATGGGCAATCAATTGTTTTTTTCTGTTTTTTGTTTGTTTCTAAAGTGTTATTACAAATATAGTCATTTAAGCAAACACACACGTACACGTTATCTAAGCTGCTTATCCTTCTGGGCCGTGGGGGTGATGGAGTCTATCCCAGTAGTCACTGGGCGGACATTTAACCACATATATTTGACAAATCTTATTGTCGTGATAATTATTTGCAAACATGAAACATATTTAATTCAAGCTCATTAAAGGGTGTGCGGTCAGTCATGTGTGCTGCGATTTGCAAACAGTTGGGCTCCCCTGGTGTATAAGGGTGATATTTAAAAAACAAAACACAATTTTTTTGTTGAAGTTGCACAGGACAAAAAAAAATAAATAAAATAAGCTGTAGTCTGCTGCTTGAGTCACTCTGTAAAGCATGAGTTTTCTGACCTTGTCATATGTCTTTATATGTTAACATCCCATGCATAGGCTCAAAAACAAGACTGGGCCCAATGCTTAGGTTTCAAATGCAAACTCAACGTTATACTGATGAAGATATGATGACAATAATGGATAATTTAATCCTCGGAAGATGTTGAATGAGTTCTTGCGATCGCTCGCGGTCATCAGATTCATCTGCTGGGGGAAAGGGTCCAAAGTGCAGCTGACATTGCAAAATGTTCTTCCACATGTTGTGTGCAATAGCACAATTTCACCAGAGAGGTCTCTAAATCCCCAAATCTTACATAGTGGAGCTTTAAAAATCATGATTATCAATCATATCGCCACCCCCACCCCTGAAAGTCTTACAGTCTGCTGCAGCTTAGACCTACCTTCAATGCTATCTTTACCTTACATGCATATTAAATAATATAATATTGAGAAACTCATATTGAATACACATTTTGCTAATAAACTACTTTATCTGTTGTTTTGAAAGTTTGAAAGTAGCCTACTGGACTTAGCGCTCTATATCCAAAAGTATCCAGACACCCCTTCTAACCAGTGAATTTATCTACTTTAAGGAGCATCCATTGCTGACGCAGGCGTTTAAATGCACATACACAGCTTGTACAATCTCTATAGAATAGCATTGACCAATAGAATGGGATGTTCTGGAAAAGTTGAACATGAGTATAGTCTCCATGCCCAAAGCCAAGCATCAGTTAGAGGGTTTAAACCCCCCAGTATTAAGCTGTGGAGCAGTGGAACTGTTCTCTCTGGAGTGATGGAGCTCCATCCAATAGCTTTGGGATGAGTTGGCGTGATCCAGAACTAATCATACAACATCAGTACCTGACCTCACTAATGCTCTTGTGGCTGAATCCAATCAAATCCTCACAGCAATGTTCCAACATCTAGTGTAAAGCCTTCCCAGAGGAATTGAAGCTGTTACTGCAGCAAAGTGAATCAGAAATCTATTGTATTAGTTGTAAAGAACTAGCATCATGTTAGAATCATGTTATACATTTATCTGCAGTAGAACTGGTTTTATATTATCGAGAACAGTGAATCCAAACTTTTGGAGGCGGAGGGAGAGAAGAGAGAGCTGAGTCTGAGCCGTGTAGTCAGCGTCATCTGTCCGTGCAGTGAAGGGATGCTAATCTGAGCCTAATTGAATTACGCTATAACGCTGAGGACACACACACGCCCTGGCAAAGTCAGTGTGTGTTAGCGGAGGCTCGTGACGTTGGGCAGGTGCCTGACAGCGTGAATGCTAATTACTAGCGTGTGATGAAGGGGGTGCAGCCCTTATCCGGCCCACCCTTGGTTAGTCTTATTCCAGCCTCATTCCTAACATCACTGATACAGAAACACTGATCTGAGAGCAGAGTTTTAAATCACACTGTGAAATGCTTCAGTGACGCAAGGCCAATCTTCTGACTGTACCATTGGATATTAATAGACTAGACACTTTGGCATTTTAATGTGACAGCGCCTGCTTTTCCTCTGTCACTCACTATCTGTGGAGCTGCATCCTTACCTTTGTTTTTTTCTTCATAATATGTAAAAAAAGTACATTAAAGAAAGTGATGCATTGAATTTACTTGATTTCAAATGTGTGCTGCTGTTGCCCTTGACAGAGTGCACGTTCAGTGTTATATTCCCTTTATGGAGTCATGTTTATGTCATATTTACCAAGGAAAAACATTTTAAATGATTAAAAATAGATGTGTAGTGGTGGGCACTTTTTTCAAAATATGAAATTATCTGTAAGATATGACTGAGCAATAACTAAATACACACACACATTTGCTAAGCCGCTTATCCTTCTGGGTCGCATGCGGGGGTTGGGGGGTGGCTTGGAGCCTATCCCAGCAGTCAATGGGTGGAAGGCAGGAAACACCCTGGACAGGTCGCCAGTTCATCGCAGGAATAACTAAATGTGTAAATACATATTAATTTGAATATACGCATGCATTCATATTGAATTTGAAGTGTTATAACTTGAAAGACCAGCGAGCAGTATCTTGGCCTACACTGCAAGACAAATGCTGCATTTAATTTACTTGATTCATAATGTAGAATGTTTGAATTTATTAGAATTTATTATAGAATAAAATACATTACATCAACACAATAACTGTATTTCCGTTTTCTTGCATTTGGCAATAATTGTGTTGATATAGATTTTATACAATGTAAATTATGTACACGTTTGAGTCATGTACATAAATCTCTCAGTATAGGAAGATATTAAGTGTGTTTGTTTCCAGGTTGACAAGGTCATGTGACCAGTGTTCTGGAGAAGCTTACTTTTGAGAGTAATGTTGCAATAATTAAATCAGACTTGACATGGTATATATGATACATACTGTCATATCACTGCGGTCATAACAACACCTCATATCTCCATTATACCTGGAGACTCTACATCTTTTACATACATATATGTAATGAGATTATAATTCATTTTAGACTGTTTCTATTAATCCATTCATCGTGAAATGTTCGCACCGTGTAAAGGACAGCTAGAGTTGTAAAATGACATATAAATGGAAATGCATGGTGTTAGAATGTTGTTTAGAATTGTTATTTTATTAAAGTTGTATCACATCTTCTCTTTTCTCTTCCTCCTTCTCTCCATTTCTCTCAGGTCTGACAGCTGCTACTTTAGCAGAAGCTATGAAGAAGAAGATTAAAATGGAGGTGATGAGCAGCTACCATGGCAATAACAACCACACAGACTCTGAGAATGGAGACATCAACTCCAGTATGGGTGAGTTTAAGACTCTCATGGGTGGATTTAAGACACTCGTAAGCGCTCTTAAACATTCTTACCACTCGTAAGCGTTCTTTCAGCTCTTTAGCTTTTTCACCAATTGTAAGCCTTCTTCCCAGGCTTAAGCGTTTTTACCACTCAAAAGTGTTCTTTCCACTCTTAAGTGTTCTTACCACTCTTAAGTGTTTTTACCATTCGTAAGCGTTCGTACCACTCTTAAGCATTTTTACCATTTGTGAGTATTCTTACCACTCTTAAGCGTTTTTACCATTCGTAAGCATTCTTACCACTCTTAAAAGTTCTTACCGTGCGTAAATGTTCTTACCACTCATAAGCCTTCTTTCCACTCATACGCATTCTTACCACTCTTAAGCTTCATAGCGCTCGTAAGTTTTCTTCCCACTCTTAAGTGTTTTTACCATTCCTAAGCATCCTTACCACTCATAAGTTTTTTTACCATTTATAAGCATTCTTACCACTCCTAAGCGTTTTTACCCCTCTTAAGCAATCTTACCACTCTGCAGCATTTTTACCACTCGTAAGCATAATTACCACTCTTAAGCATTTGCACCATTCGTAAGCATTCTTACCACTCCTAAGAGTTCTTACCCCTCTTAAGCATTCTTACCACTCCTAAGCGTTCTTACCCCTCTTAAGCATTCTTACCACTCTGCAACGTTTTTACCACTCGTAAGCATAATTACCACTCTTAAGCGTTTTCACCATTCGTAAGCATTCTTACCACTCTTAAGCATTTTTACCACTCTTCAGCATTTTTAGCACTTATCAGCATTTTTAGCACTCTTAAGCATTTTCACCATTCGTAAGCATTCTTACCACTCCTAAGCGTTCTTACCCCTCTTAAGCATTCTTACCACTCTGCAACGTTTTTACCACTCGTAAGCGTTTTCACCATTCGTAAGCATTCTTACAACTCTTAAGCTTTTTCACCATCCAGAAGCATTCTTACCACTCTCAAGTGTTCTTACATCTCGTAAGTGTTCTTACCATTCGTAAGCATTCGCACCACTCATACACCTTTCTTCCTCTCATGAGCATTTTTACCACTCTTAAGTGTTTTTACCACTTGTAAATATTCTTATCACTCTCTTAACCGTTCTTACCACTCTTGAGCGTTTTTACCATTTGTAAGCATTCTTACCACTCATAAGTGTTCTTACAGACCTCCAATTAGATACTTCATTTGATTTCAGAATGAAAGATTACAAAATAGCGTATCTTTGTGCAAAACAGTGATTTTATGAAACAGTGCAACTGAGCTACAAACACAAAAATACATAGGATGAATCCATTTTCTACAGAACTCTGATACTTCAGATTGGAGATTGGTTTGGCTCAGATAAATAAAAGTTCTCAAATAGAACTTTTTCAGTGCCTGCTGTTTTAGCCTCTAACAAAATAAACTCCAAGAATCACAACCCCCAAATTTAGGTTTAGATATTTAGAGAAACAACAGTTATTTCAGTGTAGGTGTGTCTATAGTATAAGCCCCCCCCCACCCACTTTACTCTAGTAGAATAAAGGCAGGCACATCATTGATACAGTTATAAATATTAGTACACTGTTTAAAACGTTCACATGTTTGATTTTGATACTATATTGAAACTGTTACATTATCTGAAATGAGCCAAAAGAAAGATGTGTTGTTCATGGGAGTGTTTAAAAAGTGCTTTAAAAAGTAAGGAACCTGCCTGGCTTTAGCATGTAGATCTTAGGGGTTGAAAAATAATAGGTTCACAGAAAAGAATATTGTTCTATTAACTTGCTATTTGACGTTCAGCCAGGTAGCCTGTTTACTTAAAGCAACGACAGACAGATTTTTCTATGGTGATAAAACTTCTCTTATCCTGGATTTGTGTGAGTTCCTTGTTTATAACAGCTAAAGATCTCACATCCCTTTTGTCAGATCCAACCTGTAATTTATACAGAAAAAACAAGCATTTCTGAACCAGACCTCCAAAGTCACAGAAGATACGAGTATTCATATTATTAGATTCATGCACCTCACTGGCAGCATCTATTATTGCATTCAATTAACTTCAAGGGAAAAAAAAGGATTTAGGAGACAGGCCTTTGAAGCGGCCCTTATTTTCGAGAAACTCTGATTTGTAAGCAGATTTAAGGGAGAAAATGCTCAGAAAATGAGGTCGTAACCTTTAGCGGGGGAAAGAATAGAAAAATGGGGCCAAGATGTCACAGCGAGAGGGATAAGTGTGAATAAGATTAGCCAGGTTTTACCCACAGATGCTAATGAGGAGGACCGTTTTTTTATCTTCAGCAGTTTAGAGTGAGGGTAACCTTGAGTGCCGAGCGTTCCTGTAGAATACTAATATAGCACAGAGACAGAGAGGTGTGGAAGAGGGCTGAGTGGTGCAGAACAGCACTTTTACTCTTTCTTATTCTTTCGTTGTCTGTAGTTGTGGACAGCGTTCGTCTTGTCTCATTCGTCTTCACGTGTCTGTTATTAGACGAATAGTTCTGGTTCTAAATTCTGGCTAAATAGCATTTGAAAGTGGTGTAAAATACTCTACCTTATGACTGCATCAGCTGATCCTGTATCAGATTAGTGCGAAAAAGTGGCTGCTGTTTAATCTACACTACTCTGTGAAGAGCATGATTTCTCAAAGCTATTACTGTGCTTATTAGATATGTAAAGAACGTGATGAAACAAAGCCGAATAGATTTTTTATTTCGAGTTCAAGAGGCTTTATTGTCATTTTAGCTACATACGTACACAGTGAAACAAAACAACGTACCAGGAACACAGGAACACAAGTGCAAAAACACAGGAACACAAGTGCAAAACAATACAATATACACAGTGCAGACAATACAGTGCAATAAACACAAAAGACTTAAAATAAGTACAAAGACACAGGCAGTACATGGTGCTGAGAGTGTGTCGATGTAGATGTGCAAAGCAGGATGTAACATACTATGACATATTAGCAGATAGTCTAGCATATATGAGCATAGCAGTCACTGAGGTAGCAACCAGACCAACAGCAAAGGAATACAGTATTTGTTTGATACAGTAATTCTAGCAGCTGATATTTTGTTGGTGTCATAAAGAATCTTTTTTATTATGTCAGCAGGTACAGTTTGGTTTGCAGTGCGCGTCATGCGTCACTTTCTTTTTTTTGGTCTTGCCAAGAGAGCATCCTGCTATTTGTTCAATCACAGAGCGCGCCGGCTACTAACGACACAGTCGACGACTCTCTTCCTGCAATGTTCTTCCTGCAAACTCTTCCTGACCCCTGACCAAACTCAGGCGGTAATAACTAAGGCAATAGACAATAGGTTGATTCACTGTGCCCGGTTCATACTCTAAGAATGCTAAATGTGTGCTTGAGCCCCGGTATGAAATTCACATCATATTTCAGTAGACAAGTGGTGCCAAAGATGTCCAAAAAACAAAGGAAGAACTTTTCTTAGGAGTGTGAAGATCTGGGTGAGTCACAATTCCCTGCAATTATGTCGGATAACTGGACATCTTAACCCCTCACAACAGCCCTTGCCAAGTTTTATTACAAACTCCTATAACCTAAGAAGAGCTCCATTAGTTTGCATTGAAGTCGCTGTAGTTACTGAATAATAAGCCTTAGTATATAAAAGCCTGGAATGGGGTTGAGTTGTTCTACCAGTCACTCTTTTGATAAAAGGAAAACTTGAAAATCTCAGTGGTGGTTAGATTTATTTCACATCGATCCCCCTGGCAACGCCATGGCCATCTGTGGTCAGGAGCCCAGAGAGCATAACTGGGTTGGACGGCCCTTCTCAAGCCTCCAACCCACCACCCACCCCCCAGCCCTCTCTGTACCCTCTCCCCCAGTCACTCTGCACAGCACCAGTGAATGCAGCCATCTGTTAGCTGACGTATCAGAATTGCCAGTTAGCATTCTCCTCCAAGCATGTTGAGCTTCACTGACATTGCATTAGTGGCACTTTGAAGATGCTGTGGAGCTTCACATGTCTCAGAGGAAGCTCATGCAAGCCTTCATCCTCTTAGCTTCCTCTGAGACATGTGAAGCTCCACCGCATCTTAGTATAGCTTGGTAGCATAGTGTGATGGGGAACCAAACGAATAAGTGGAACGGAACGCGACTAAATCATGAGGGAACGTTGTGTAAAAGAAATAAAGTTAGGTTGCTTGGTTGCGAAGCCTACTGTTAACTACTTAATTTATGATTTTTATTAAAAATGCACTAAATTTCTTATTGAACATTGTTGTATTTTATCATGTTTTGTTGTCCCTAACAGCACCTCATATGGTCACTGTAACACATGCTCTCTAGTAGCTAATTGCTTGATTCTGGTGTGCTGTCTTGTGAGAGGAGTGTTTTTACAGGCATTGCTGGTAATTGCTGGCAACGAGCTTTTATGTTCAGTAACAAATGCACAGTCGACGAAAGTGCTCCATTTTTCACAGCTCAGCAATCAATGCACACAAGTACAACATGTTGCTAAAAGCACTGTATCCTTTACACACCTTTAGATACCTCTGCTTGGAGAAGAGGCTTCTTCCTTTGGTCACTTAAAGTCGAGTACAGTTCCATTGTGTTTAAGAGGTTGCATATTTTAATACATAGTGAATTACGTAATGGATTACATTTGCATCTGATTGTATCCTGTATCAAGGACTGCTTTCGTTGTGCGCTTCTACACAACAGTAAGTCTCAATAAAATCAGGGGCTGATTTAGTGAATCTGGGGCTCAAACAAAAGATAGGAAAGGGGCCTCTGGATATACATTAAATTAAAACTTAAGTTAGTTGAAGCACTGGGCACCTGAGTGGCATAGCTGTCCACACTGCAAGTAAAATCATCTTAAATCTTGTCGATATATTTCATATTTCTCATTTTGAGTTTTTCAGTATTTCGACTTAAGTACTTTATTTAGTGAAATCGTCTCACTATAGCAGATCATTTAGCTTGTTTTAAGAAACAGTGTGGACAGTGTATCACTGCACTGCTTTG